ACCATACGATAGTCACACTGACAAAATCACCTATGAACACTGAATACATCCTTGCTGATAAGCACCAAGTAGCCATTTGGTACCTTCTTTGGCCAATGCACTAGCAGCAGCAGGGTGGTCACAATGCTTTGTATCATCAATTATGAAGACATCAGCCTGCACACCTCTTCATGGTGAATATCTTTTCAGGTATCCTCAAAGTCAGTGATCTCCCTCAGATGTTAGGATGATTTCTAAAAGGCAAGGACCCCAGCATATGGTTCTTGTAACATTAAGGAGACTAAAGGGACAGAGAAAATGCCCAAGGTGGTGTCAGGGGACAGACAGGGAAGGAAAAGACATTGCAAACGTGGTACATCATGGCTCATGGCAAGAAGCCCAGATCAAGGATTAGGAATTCTGGGTATAAGATCTGACTTTGCCTACAATGTATGGCCAAGTTACCCTTTATCCCAGGTCTACTATGAAATTGTTCTCCAGCATCCCTCCACCTCAAATGTCCCATTCCAATAGCTAAATTAAAACACATTCATTCCTAAAGACTACATGAAGTCAAGTGATTTAGTGTATGTAACATTTAACCCCCCTCTTCTAACACCCTAGTATGCAATCTGACTTTTGCCTTTAGCAAAAGGGAACTGCATTCCCAGTGTATTCTGGGAAAAAGCAATTTATTATGCTACAGATGAGGATTAAGGTCAGTTAGGGGAGGTCAGTGGTCAGTGTGGTTATCTGGACCCTTCTGAAGCATAAAATTTAGATTTGTTTTGTGTCTAACCACATCATGAAGATTCTTATTAGCGATGACTTTTGGGAAAGCAAAAGAATGAAAATACTCAACTAACTTTTCAGAAGTCCAAATAAACTAAACTTTGAATTGTCCCAGAGGACCTCCAAAGTTATAGCCTGCCTGCACAAACACATCACCTTTTCCTAGCTCGCCCTCTCAAGCTCGCCCTCTCAAGATCACTGTGATCTTAACACATGTGTAAAAGGCAGAGAGGAGAGTCAAGGCTGGACACATTTTTAAGCCAAGTGGGAAAGACGGTGTTGAGCAATGGATAGTCCTTGACCTTGAGATCAATAAGGTTGCGTCAGCTCTGTCTTTTCCACTCCTTCTCAGACAAGCCCAGGACCCCTAGAAGGAATGGCAAGGAGGGTTAAGGGGCCTCCCCACAGTCACCACTCTTGGTATGAGTTTTTATCTCCTAGCAACCCAATATGTTACTGTAGAAAAAAAGGGAATTGTTTATGGAAAGACAATCTTGGAATTCTGTAGAAAAGATGGGAGGGGAGCCAGACAGAAAAATGGAAAAGAACACTAACAAATCTTTGGGCAGAACAGAACATTTACAAAACCAAGGTGTTCCCAAATGTTTCCAGCACTTGATGGTAGAGGTAAGCCGAGTTGTAGTCCCTCCTTTTCTCTCTGAAAACCACCCCTTGGCATAGGTCCCTGATCTCTCTTGATTACCAAAGATACCAGATGTGCTCTGGGCTCCAGAGGCTCTGCCCCTTGGTGAGACACCTCTCATCTCTTTTCACCTCCTCCACCCTGTCCCAATGACTTAGGCCTGTTTGAACAACATCAACATCAGGAACAGTACACAACACAGGGTGTACATGTGAACAGAGTAGGAGGTCCCCACTCCCCAGCCGAAATCAACATCTGGAGAGACTTAGATTTCAGAGAGGGACTCAGATTGAGTCATTAGTATGTGTAAGGGTTGTCAGCAACTTTTTCATTCTCGCTCTTAATAAATCTAAGTCCCCATTTGTTAAGCAGATCCATCCCTGTGGAAATGCCTATTGGACTCCCCAGGACAATTAGTGGAGTTTGAATTGGAGAGGTAAGATAACATCCAACTAGAGATTTGACTTCCAATGGGAGAAGTGGCATCTGAGCCCTTAACTACAGAGTGATCTTTGACTGTCCTACTAGGAAAGACATCAATGCAGTCCACCTACCTGGGGAGCTGATAGAAACCAGGAATCAATCTTTTTTCCTTCCTTCTTTCCCTACTTCCTTCTCTCACTTCCTCTCTAATAACTATCAGAAACTATCCATTTCATTTCACTTATCAGAAATAAAAGCAACAGAAGCTGAGTCCCATCAGGTAAGTCATGGTGTGAAAGAAATAGGTCCACCAAGCTGCCTTCTCTGCTACTTCCTTTGCTAGTTTATTTGAAATAGCTTCGGGGTCCTTTCTGTGCTTGTTGCCACGTCAAAATAAATGTCAGCAGAAGCCAAGGTGATGAGCCAGCAGGCAGAATGAGTTAATAGATGGTTCTCAAGGGGAGGCCTCCTTCTGAACCTACTAAGGGTCAGAGGTGATCTCACTGTACTCTTTCTAAATTGCCTTTGGCTCATGCAACAACAGGGAAAAAAAAAAAAAAAAGAGGAACTCAAAAGGAGCCGGCAGCAGTGGCTAATGTTCAACCCTACCCTGTCCTCAACCTAGGAGGTTTGATGTAAGAGCCAACCCAAACAGGCCCCCAGCCCTACGCCTGCCTGGCCTGTGACTTGTCTCCTCACATGGAGCTCTTTGCAGCTCGGGTTTCTCAGCATGGGTGTCTGAAGCAGTCCTGCAAAGGGGACCTCTTTGCTTCTTCATATCTGGCTATCTTTTCCTCTGTGATCTCAACTTTTCAGTCAAAGCAAGTTGAAGAAGGTGAGAGGAATTAAAGAGAAATAGCACCCTGTTTCCAGGACCATCCAGAAAATGCCTCTTAAACCAAAAGGGCAAGGTCCTCTGAAACATTTTAGCCAGGGGTAAGCAAGGAACACCAGAGTGTAGAAACGTTCTCATTTGTACAAAGTCCTTCTGGTTATGGTGAGTCATTTGTCTCCATAATGCTGCAAAACTACAAAAGGGCTCATCCAGGGTGTGACTGTGGCTGAGAGGAGATAAAAGACAAGATGCAGTCTATTTACCTGTGTCCAGGAAGACAATACTTCCTGTGGGAATGCACTAGAAATGAGTCAGTCCCCAGTTACAAGGAGGCCACCACCAAAGCCTGCTCATCTCAGAGATCACCTAGTCACTTAGTTCAACCTGGTTATTTACAAACAAGGAAGACAAAGTCCTGAGAAATCCGTCTAGGACCAGAACCAAGACGTATGCCTCCTGTTGAAACCAGCTTAATACAGGGCATGGCAATTCAGGCACAAACAGGGCTTTCATATAATTTGTTTCCTCCACTTGAAGGCCTATATTAGAGAACAATGAACTTTGAACAAATGCCAAAGGACAATGACATTTTCAGAAATAGGAGAAATCCTCCTCAGAGCTGTGGGACAAAATAAGAGAAATGTTTTCCACGAAGACTTAAGATCCTATTCTGTGGCAAGACCATTTACCACCAGGACTATGCAGTGCTGAGCACAATGGCTAAGTTCCTGCTATTGCGGTGGTCCCTGCTCTCATGGGCCTATTTATAGGAGGGACAAATAGACTGGCTGGAATGGACAGAGGAGCTCCTGAGATGCAAAAGACAAGGCAGCAACCTGTCTTTACAGTGCCTCCCTCTCTGTGAGAATAAAATGGGAAGGGCGATTTATGGTGGCTGTTCAAGGAATCTGGCACTTTAAACATGCCCTGTTACCTTTCCTATAAACACTGGAAATATGGAGAGTGGAGCTTGGAGAGAGAAAGAGGGACAAAAAGAAGAGCTCACAAGGCCTGTTGAAATCTGTTATATTGAACTTAATACGAGTATAAAGGAAGAAGAACAAAATGTTGGATGACGGGTCCTCCTGACTCATATACTCAATAATTTTTACTTGGTATCTCTATTTGGAAGTCACAAAAGCACATCAAACCCAAAACAGTATGTCTTAAACCAAATGCATAAACCAGAGCAAACAAGCCACTCCCTGACACTATTTGCTTTCACCTCCCATATCCAATCCTTCTCTAAGATTAATCAAGTCCCTTGATTAGTTCTCTATATCTCAATCGATAGGCCCTGCTCGACAATCCATATCTGAACCATTGTGAAATCCTGAACCACTGCTATGGACCTCCCTCTCCCCACCCATCTCTCCTCAATTGCCTTATTTAATCTATTACTCAACAACCTCTCATCTCATTATGGTATCAACATTTTTAAAGTTTTCTGATGCACTTAAGGATGGTTTGGTATCTGCTTCTCTCCAACTCATCCTCAACCATGTTGTGAAGGGCTCCTCCCCCACCAGCCAAAGTGACTCAAGAAATTTACGAATTTGTGTAGTTGCCTGATCAGGGCCTTAATGGATTTTACCCACTAGGCTGAAAGTCCACAGGACCTGCATTTGTCTTTAGACTATTTTCCTAGTGCCCAAGTACACAGCATACCACATGTAAACAAAAATTATTTGATTTTGCATCCTAGGTTCCCAAATGTACAGGTGTCAAATACACAAATATTTTGGGTCATCACATCTGCAGCATCTCTACTGATGTCTAGTGAATAGAAGTCAAGGATACTGCCAAAGATCCTAAAATACACAAGACAAACCATCAAATCTTACACCCAGCCACTAGCATCAAAAGTACAAAGATTGAGAAACTAAGAAAACTTCATGTTTCGAGCCTATTGAATCAGATCTCCTAGTCACGTTTATGGAAATGTATTTATTACCTACAGATGCTGTAGTACTTACACATGGACACACAGGAATATACACACTGACTTTTAAATTATCTAAGGTAAGAGATACATATTTTAATGGCCACCAGTAAAACACTTCCCAGGCCCAGCATAAGTGTAGAACTTAGTTGTCCAGTATGCCTAGAGAGCCGCCTTTAACTTAAAAAGGGCCTTGAGCTTCACTGAAGAAAGCCACCTTATTTCATATGTATGACCAAGGTGCAGCAAAGGCTAGTGACATCACAAAAGAACCCCTCCCAGTTACTGAGCCACACCCCTTTATAGTCACAATGGCTAAGTCCTTAAATACAGGGACTCCCTGCCCTGCCGGCATTGCAAAGGCCCTCATTTGGGCAGAAATTACCATGTCGACCAGCCGCAAACTAAAGGGTCATGGCACGAGGAGAAGCAAGAACCGAGCCCCTCACAAGGGTGTCAAGAGAGGTGCCCGCAAAAGAAAATGCCCAAAGAGCAGTCTGAAGAGTAGGAAAAGGGGCAATGATGGTAAGTGAGGGGTGAGCAGGAGAGTAGTCAGAGACATGTTCTCCTGGCCTTCCTCATGGGGGCAGCTCTCATAGGCCCCAGGAATCTCAGCCCTCAGGAAGTTCCAGTGGCTACATTCCTTCTGGGGCAGGGACAGTGATGGGTGTTCTAACGGGTGTCCCTGTGAATCCTCTCCCTGCAGCCAGCCGCAATTATGGTTCCCACTTATGATGCCGCAACGAGCCCTGTCCTGGTGGACTTCAAACACCAGGCGGCAGCTAGAGGACAACACGAGGGGGACCACCAAGGAGACCTGATGTTAGACCAAAGCCAAAGAGCCTACCGAGAGTGGGAAAATGCCAGTCGTGACGCAATGAGGAACGTATATGTTGGCTGTTTCTCCTGAACATCTCAACATTTTGAAAACAAATAAAATTTAGAAAACCAAAATTTGGAAAACTGAAATTTCCTTTGATCATTTGGTTGGAAAAATTGGGGTTTGAGTTTAGGCACAGTTGGGCAATAGGCACGGTTGAGGCACGGTTGGGCAATGCCATTACACATAACCGTCTGTTGAACATATCCCAACTCATGTTGGATGCACCTCTACCCTGAATGTCTTCCGAAAATGTCCGAAAATGTTGGGGTAGTTGGGATAGTGCTAAGGTACACCCAGACATTTGGAGTAGACATATCCTAACTACCCCAAAAGCTGAAAGCTATGAAGACAACTTTCTGAAAGGGAGATAAGGTCTTCATAATCTGGTCTTCATAATCTGGTTTTGTATACTGGTTTTGTACACATTAAGCCAATCCCAAGACCTGTTGGGCAGTTGTGAACTCAGGACCCACCCAGTGACTTGGTCTGGAAACACAGGGTTTTCAGGCTCAGATGAACATTGTCTTTGTGGCTCCTGAAAGCCCAAACCCAGCACCTGTGGGTCTTTCACTCCTTAGAGACATGTTAGCGCTTCCTTAGGGATATGTTAGACAGTCTGCCTTGGGTGAGGCAGACTGTTCCAGCTGGAACGCCATGTTCTGCCTGAAGTCATTGTTTGGTCTTTTTGGAAAGTGAAACCAAAATTAAGGCTTTTGGCCACAGAAAGCCTTTCTAGGTCACCCAAGGTCTAGCTGACCTCCATCCTCACCTTGGGTCTCCCTTCAGATGACCCTGGGTAGTGACTACACTGAAAAGGCGGCTGGAAAGAGAAACTGCTCTCGGAGTAGTTGGTGCACCACAAATGGCCTGGGGCTTGGCTGTCCAGGTCACCCACCACAGATTCTATCCTTTTGAGACCAGAGACTAGCAGCAGCCTGAAAACAGTAACTTTTGACTTTACTATCTGAATTCTGGAAGGACCCAAACAGAGCATTCATAACCCCTGGGTCTTAGTTTCCAGGTTGGCTGGATGGTCACAGCCACACTTCTCTCCCTCTCCAATCTTTCCAAATGAGGGGCCACAATGTCTGAAACCCCGTGTCTGGATTCCATCTGAGTCACTGCTGCTTTGTGACCTTGACTGAGATCAGTCCTCCCTTTGCACACCACCCACCCACCCACCCACCCACCAACCATTTCGGCAGCCTAGCGCAGTCAGCACTGCTGTAACTGCAGCCGCCTCGGGCAGAAGTGAGTAAGGCATCCTGAACAGCTGGCATGGCAAAGGATAAAACCAGCAGGCACTGACTGAGCTGACAGTTTCTAGATGCCCTCTATGAATGGTATGACTTGAAGATACTGATTCCTCATCTGTATATTGCTCAGGAAAACAAATTACCATATTGGAAATAGGTCCTGAGTGAGTTAGAAGCCCTCAGCTTTGGGCGCTGTAGGTGCCATTGTGTCTATATGACTTAGGTACAAGGCTTATCCTGATGTTGTGTCCCATCCTGAGACATAAGCTTTGTACCTATGGGCCTCCTATTCCAGCTGCAACTTCCCATTGTGACTCAGCATCTCTCCATAGTCCCGAGGTCATAAAAGTCCTGTGCGCAGGAGCTGGGAATGATATCTCTCTAACCAGACACATCATCCACAAGGGAGGGTGCTAAGGATCATATCCATTGCATCTTGAAACAAATCAATGAACCTACCTCTCAACTAGATATGTTAAAAAATGCCTTTGGATATTAGTGAAAAGGGACTAAACACACTGATTAAGATCATGCTCATTTTTTTCCATTAGTAATGAAATTCTTAGGCCTGACATGCAGGTGTTTTTCAAAAAAAGATATTAAGAACTTAGATTTCATAATCTGTTGGGATCATCCTCAAAAACACTTTAAATTAAGAGGGTGGAGAAAGAATTTTGTCTTGTACCGCACTAGAAAGTAGAGCTTTATTTAATGAACCACTGAGTCATAAACAGAACATACAAGGTATATTCAATGGTATATGTCAATACAAAGGAAGTTTGATGTGCATGGAATCAGTTGGGGATACTGACAAATACCAATTCTGACACTGTAGGTACAGGGCATGCCTGAGACTCCATGTTTCTAAGCAGAGACCAGACAGTGAACACCCAAGGTGTACAGAATATTCAATTGGAAGCAAAATAACAGAATCAGCTCTCTCCTCCGTGACAATTCAACACCCTTATCTGAGGCTGTTGGTACACCCAAAAATGTCATAAGATGGAGAAGGGAAGATCTAAGGCCCCTTCTGATTCTTAAAGTCCCAAGAATCAAGACTAAAGAAATGTAGCCAGGCAGCCATTTCTCTAACTTCTCAAACACCTAAAGCAGCATCTAGGAGCATTGGTAGAAGGCTGGCCTGGCTCAGACCCTCCTGTGCTGCTTCTGACCAGAAGATCAAGCTCATACTACTTAGGGCTATGTAAGACAAAAGGGAGAGAAAGAACAAGAATGCCTGGCAAACAGTAAAGGGATCTCTGGTTTGGCTGTTTAATCCTTCCCTCTTCCCCTCTGTCTGCAGTCCCAGGCTGTAGATTATAAGCCATACCCGCCTCCCCCCAACTTGCTACTCAAAATGGGTGTCCATTTGCATTGGTTGAAGCCAACAGAAGCAGATTGCACCTAACTCAGGAGTAGGGACGGGGAACAGAATCCATGAAGTGGGTAGGCGATACTCCAGAGAAGCTGAACTGAGCTTCCCCTTGAGAGTCTCACAGGAAGCTGCTAGGAAATTACCATGCTCACCTCTGACTGAAATGACTCCTAATGTTTTCCTTCCTTATAGCACTTCCTTCAAAACTGGGGGTCCTGGGAAGGAGAAAATGAGGATCAAGCTGCTGTTCCAGTGAGTAGGGCTGGTCTAAAGCAGAAATGGAGAAACTTGCCAAAGGGGACACATATGCTGGTCAGTCACACATAGCAAGCTACAGGAACAAGAAACTCTTCTCCTGCAGTGCAAAGAACTCCAGGCTACTGTCTGTATTGAGCAAAACCTTAGTATTTCTAAGCATAAAACAGATACTTCCTGGAATCCAGAGCTCTGTGAACATTCATAACAACGCAGCTTTTCCTGTAAAACTGGTGCCTCAGCATGAAGAATTTGCTTAGCATGTGTAAAATACATGTTACGTTCACCACCAAAACCAGCTGACTCCGTTCTCAACTCCATTTCCCCCCCCCACATAGATAGATGTTAATTCCATCAAGAGACTTCATCACAGATGAAATAGCAAGGAAAGTCCCAGAGCTATATTGCAGGACTTGTGGGACTGGCAGGCCAGAAACATATTATTGAGCATAATAAACACATTTTATAAACACACACACACACACACACACACACACACATATGTGACTCAGTGACAGAAAATGTACCTAAAAGTCATAGATTCTCCAGTGGTATCCAAGATGACCAGGAAAGCCAAGACCACAGTGACACCAGCTGATTCCACATCCTAGGAAAAACAGTTGCCTCTTCCCTTCTCTCCACTATTGACATCCAGGAAGTTAGAATGTTCTGATTTAGCAAATCCAAGTTTGGTCTAGGATTAGGCTAGCCAGTATGAGATTCACTGGCCATGTGTAGCTTCTGAGCTCTCAAAATATTATTAAAGTTTGAGAAATGTTCTCACTGTAACATGCATGTCAGCTTTCAAAAACAGTGTGAAAAGAAAATGCAAATATCTCATTAGTAATTTTTATGTTGACTATATGTTGAAATAATATTTTAGGCATATTTGATTAAGTAAATTAAAATTTTACATGTTTCTTTGCTTTTCAAAATGTAGCTACCTATATTAGAAAAATTAAATTACAAATAAAAATTGCCATATATATACATATATATATATATTTCTACTGGACAGAGCTCACCTGGGACTCCCTTGATTCTCACAACTCTGACCCTCACTTCCCCATGTGTCTACTAAGCCAGTTCTATACTAAGATGATGTTCTATACTACAGAGCCAGTTCTGTACTACAGAAAGATTATGTCTACTCATACACAGACACAGCACCCTGCCTTCTGTTTAGGTCTGGGGGTTTGAGAGGTGGTTACCCTGTTCTCTGGTGCTGTTGTTGCTTCTCCCAAGATTATCCTTTATCTTTAAGTACCTGCAAGACTGGCTTGCATTGAATGTCTGGAGGTAAAATTGCCTAATACTGTATATTTTCTTCTTAGATAACTTCTGGCTCTAATAACTGGGCTCGAAGTTGGTTCATTAAGGACATAAAATTTGTAAAAAAATAAAAAGAGTTGTGTTTTTTAAATACCAGGAAGTTTTGTGTGTCAAATATATGGAGGGAAAAAACTTTGTATCTAATTGTCACTATGATCTTTTTCCCTCCCTAGTTTTTTCTCTCTCTCCTTCCCTTACACACACACACACACACACACACACACACACACACAATTAATCAATCAATAATAGCTAATAAATAATAGCAATCAATAAATAGTATTCAGTTTTAAATTTTAATCATGTTGTTGAAATTTCAGAATCTTTTTCATCTAAGAGTACTAATCTCTCTACCAGGGGCTTTTCCTAAGAATTTGATGCTTGTTATCTTCCTTTACCCTCACCATAATCACACAAAGTCCCTGGTAATCCCTATTTCAGAGATGAGAAAATAAGGCACAGAAAGTTCAAGCTATTTGTCCACGGCCCTAATACCTTTGAGGTCAGAAATGGAGTAGAATGGAGTAGTATTTGCCATGAAACTCTGTGCCTTACAGGTGAGAAATTCTAGCCCAGAGACAAGAAAGGATGCAGGTAAGATGGCTCAGTGACAAAGGCAAAACTACAACTCTGC